CGGTTTTTTAAACCGTCAGTGATTTAGTGTAGATTCGTGGAAGAATGAATAAGCTGAGAATGCAGGGTGCTTTTCAAGTGCCCGTTGGCTTTCTGGGGAGAAAGCCTACCATTGGGAACCCTGGCGGGCTCTGGCTTTTCTTGCTAAGGAGAGTCATTGTAGGAAGAGAAGGTGGATGGTTGTATGCCTCATTGACTCTGAGAAAACAATTGCCAGGTGAGCAGCTTGTTGGTAACAGGAAAAGCACATCAACCACAACTAACAGCAATGTCTTTATTTTGTGTTTCTTTTTAATGCTGAGCGGCTTTAATGTGGCAAAATAACGGAGCCAGAAAATTTCAGAAAATGAATTTTATCAAACTCTTGTGTTTTAAAGCTAGCAGTGACTTGCTTTCATATGTTACTAGGGGCCCAGTGCATGAAATTCAGGCATGGGTAGGGTCTCTAGGCCTGGCCGGCAATCAGGGCCGGCCAGGGCCTTCCTTCGTTAAACGCTGCCCCCTGGTGGTCAGCGCACATCATAGCGTGCGAGCAAGCTCCTGGTCTCTGGGTCGAGGGGACAATTTGCATATTAGGCTTTTATATACATAGATTGAAAGATATGTGAGAAAAGCCCTTACAGATATAGTAGGGAGAAAGGAGGCATATTCAGGAATTAATGTCCACAGCTTTCCAAAAAGTCTCGTATTCCTCCTATTGGCCATTTTCTTTTTCTTCTCCTTCCTCCACCCATTCCATTCTGACCCACAGTACACTTCGACTCATGAATTTTGGAGTCTTATTGACACTGAAATAAAAGCATTTTGCTGTAGTGGCATATTAGTGGTTGCTTTGCTAGACTTAGAAATGCTTTGCTTTTTGTGTATTGTTAAACGTTAAGAATTTATTTCATGGAAGGGATTCAGTTGAGTGAGAAGCTGATGTCTGGGCTCCGAGGAAGGTGGGAAATGAATGGTATAGGAGGGGACTGAAGTAGGCTGCCTATATAATCCCCAAAACTGTATTCAAGATTATAACATTATCCTTCATTAAATGCTTGCATTTCAACACAACTTTAGGAGTTGATATAAAGGACTTTGCATGTGAATTTTGGAATTCTGTTTTAACTATTTCTCTGTGAAATTTTCTGCAGTTAAACCTCTTGTTTCTCTTGCCTCTATAAAAATAACAGCTGACATTTATTTTGTATATTCTATGTGTGAGATAGTTTTCTAAGCACCTATGTCGTATTTAACCATCACAACAACCCTATGGAGGAAGATATCACTTTCCCATTGTAGAGACAAGGAAATTGAGGCACAGAGGGGCAAAGTAACTTGCCCAGGTCACCCAGCTGATAAACTGAGCCAGATCTCAAAATCAGACACTTTGTCACAGAACCTGCTAATGGAAACACTAGATTATACTGTAATATATAGTGTATCATTATATGGTCAACAATATATTTGCCATATATCTGTTAGGAAATTAGTTTTCTTTCTTATGTAGATTTTAATGTTTTGAGCACTTACGAATACTTGTATTTTGTTGTTCTTGGCACTGGAATAACTGCTACAGAAAGAATAGCCTGGCCTAGCCTTCCCCTCTTTTCCCTCTCCCTCCCCTCTTTCACAAAGATGAAATGAAGAGGAATTGATGAAGACAGGTTATTAGATTAGGGTTCATATTCATGGCTGTAATAGCATTGAAAATTCCTCCTGTCATTTCAGTTTGTGTTCAGGAATTGACACCTACTTTTTGTGAATCACAAAGACCAGTGTCTTACATAAAGCCATTTAGACTTGGGGGATAAAACTTTTAAAAAGTGCCCTAACCGGATTGGCTGAGTGGATAGAGTGTCCGCCTGCGGACTGAAGGGTCCCAGGTTCGATTCCGGTCAAGGGCATGTACCTTGGTTGCGGGCACATCCCCAGGAGGGGGGGTGTGCAGGAGGCAGCTGATGGATGTTTCTCTCTCATCAATGTTTCTAACTCTCTGCCCCTCTCCCTTCCTCTCTGTAAGGAATCAATAAAATATATTTTTTAAAAAACCAAACTTTTTTTAAAAAGTAAAATTTTATTTTCCAAGTTTTTTTATAGTAATTTTTACATCTGTTTGAGTTGTATGTTCTAAAATTGTTGCAAAAAGACATCAAATAATGGTTTAAATTTTAATTCATGTGGGTCAAAATGTACCTTAGGATATTTATTGCCATCAAGTTTTTGTTACTGCTTAATACTTGATCATACAGTCTTCCCATTTTCATTTATTCTCTCGGTCTTGCCCCTCTTTTGGCACTTTCCTTTCTATGCTGGTGTTGGGAAGCACAAGGTGGAGGGGAAACTTTACAATAAAGTGTATCTGACATCTAAGGACAGTTTTGGTCTATTGCCGCGTCGTCAAGAGAGCTTGTGTAATGAGATCTGTATTAATAGATTGTGAAAATAAGAGGTTTCTCTATTCTTTTTTCTTTTTTTTTTTTCTTTTTACTCTTGACAGTCTTGGCCTCCCTTTTGTCTGCACTGGGATTGCAGCATAACTTTTAGTACTTAATTGTAACAATAATTCTTTTTCATAGAGCCTTTCACTACTAGCCTAGTTTTAGGCTGATTACTTCACATCTCATTTAATTCTTCCAATATCCCTAGAAGATTGACATTATACCCATTTAAGACTCTCAGATTGATTAGGCAACTTGCCCAAGGTCAAATAGTTGGCCAGTAGCAGAGCCAGGATTTGAACTCAACTGGTCTTCAAAGTCTGGCTTCTTAGCCATTATACCATGGCTTCTCTCCAAACTAAAGAATGTGCCCAGTGCCTGGCTTAAATGTACTACACCAAGATTAGGAGTCTCAGGGTCTTATCAGCTGAACCAGCAAGTTCTTTTTTATTTTATGACAAACTCTCTATTTGTAATGTCTAATGACACCCTGCAGGTTTTACTTGACCACCCCCGTCCCCGCAGACTATGAAAACTCAGATATGGACAGCCATGGGTTGGACTACACTTTGACCTCTGCCTTCCCTCCCTCATTTGGTGTCTCACCTCGACTCTACCCTGTCCTGTCTACCTCAGCACTGCCACTTCCAGCGCTGGAGTGGCTCTGAAAGAGATGGCACTGGAGCAGAGGTGTCTAAGGAAGTGGAACAGGGCAGTCACTGGGAAAGGTTTTGTGGAGTCAGAATTATACGACATGTGGCCCTTTGTGTCTTCTTTCATGTGACATAATATTTCAAAGGCTCATTTCTGTTGTATATATTAGTACCTCATTCTTTTTGATTGGTAATAATTTTCCCTTGTATGGATATACCACCCTTTATTCATTAGCTGATGGACATTTGGATTATTTCCACTTTTTGGCTATTATGAATAATGCTGCTATGATCATCCATGTACAAGTTTTTGTATGGACACATTTTTATTTCTTAGGTAGTTGCCTGTGGTTGGAATTGTTGGTTCATACGGTAACTTTATGTTTAACCTTTGAGGAACTGCCATACTGTTTTCCAAAATGGGTCTACCAGTAGTATATGAGTGTTCCAATTCCGCCACAATTTATAAACACTGTACACTAACATCACCACAAACGACATGAGTAATGCATCACACTATGATGTTATGATGGCTGTGATATCACTTAGGGTGATGGGAATTTTTCAGTTCCATTATGATCTTATGGGACCACTGTTGTATAGGTGGTACTTCATTGACCCAAGCATCGTTAAGCAGTGCATGACTTTATTTTGGTTATTCTGGGTCTCTTGCATTTCCATATTGATTTTAGAATCAACTTTTAAATTTTTCAATAAAAAGGCAGCTGCCATTTTAGTAGAGATTTCATTAAATCTATGGATCAGTTTGAGAAATGTTGCTAACTTAACACTATTAAATCTTCCAATTCGTGAACATGGGATGTGAGTATATTTGTCTTTTTAAATTTCTCTCAACAGTGTTTTATATAAGTTTTCAACATGTCTTGCACTCCCCCCTTCCCCTTTAAAAAAAATGATTTCAGAGAGGAAGGGAGAGAGAAATAGAAACATCAATGATATTTGAGAATTGTTGATTGGCTGCCTCCTGCACGCCCCCTACTGGGGATTGAGCCAGCAACCCAGGCATGTGCCCTTGACTGGAATTGAACCGGGGACCCTTCAGTCCACAGGCCGACACTCTATCCACTGAGCCAAACCAGCTAGGGCTGTCTTGCACTTCTTTAGTTAAATTTATTCTTAAGTATTTTATTCTTTTTAATGCTGTTGTAAATGAGATTGGTTTTTTTGTTTTTTTAAAAATGTATTTTATTGACTTTTTACAGAGAGGAAGGGAGAGAGATAGAGAGTTAGAAACATCGATCAGCTG